TAGGTTAAAAAATCTTATTTATTGGCAAAAAAAATGAAAGTAGTGAATGCGCATGATAGCTAATAAAGAATGTTATAAATGCATTATAAAAGGCCAAAGCTTTTCATCAATAATATCCATTAAATTTAAAATAAAAAGTTAAGAAAATCTTTGCTATAAAAAAAAAAAGGATATTCAATGAAGATTGCATTCCATCTTTTTTCATTTATTGTGATTTTTTTATATTTTTAGTTCCAAGAAGATAGAAAAGCAATAGCCATCAAATTCAACTTAAGAGCTATTATTTATTGACTTATTGAATGAGACACTAAAATTGCCATAGCTTTAAAGACAACATATTAGAAATGAATATCTTCAAGAATAATATGTTTTTTTTTAAATATATGGTAAGATATAATATATTTGGTATTATGACCTTAGAAAATAGTTCCAACATTTGGTGATTTTATTAGAATTAAGAATGACTCTTGATGGTGTAACAAATGTTTTTTTTGAAGGAAGTTACAAAGGCTTCAACAATGATTAAATATCAAAGTAGCCTTTTTGTTTTGAAATAAAACATTATTAATAGCTCAATTGAACTATCAACTATCTTTTAAGAGAACAAAAATTAGAATATGTGGTAAATATAATTTATTACACCTTCAATTTTTTCAATAAATAATCACTTCTCCTTGTGGAACTTATTCCTAAAATAGAAAGTAATATCATGGACATACATATTTATGCTAATAATTATTTAAATAATATGAATAGATAGAATAAAATAAAAAATAGATGAATTTGATAATATCATATAGAAAAGCTTCTTAGAAGCTTTATAGATGCATTTTTATTTTTATACATATTTATAGTTAATTAATAGATTAGAAATTTAGCCAATAAATTAGCCATATGTTGTATGTATTGATAGCTTGTGGTACAAGCTAATTATATGGTACATATATAAGAAACATTTCTTGCAAGTTAGACATGTGTGATATAAGTTAGATACATGTTGGAGGTTCTATAGAATGTCGCCATGTAGCTCCTAGTTAGATAATATATATGTATATATATATATATATATATATTAGCAAGAATGAGGCTTTTTACAATCTTATCAATTTTTTTCTTGATTTTAGCATAGTTTCAAGGATTTTTAATTTTTTTTATCTTTTCATAATAGCAATTCCAATTTTTTTTTGAATATACATAATTACTTAGTTATTTTTTATTTTTTTCTTTAAAAAAAATCTCACTTGTTTATTTGCATTCATTGAATTTTTATTCTTGACATGAAATATACAAATTTTATATGATTTGTAGCACCTTTGATGAAATTAGGAAGATAAGACTAAGGCCTCATAGCCTCTCTAAGAGACCTTTATATAATACTTGTGACCTTCAATAAGGCTTGAATTTTTAATATCTTAAACAAATTATCTTTAAAATAAAAATTATTCACTTAATTTTTCTATTATTTACATTCTATCTTTAAATTATTAAAACTTATTTATAATAAATTATATTTTTATATTTTTATGTCATTAGAAAAATAAAAAAAATATTTACCTAAAAAAATATTTTGTAAATTTTTACTTTTTATTGGATAAAAATCTAATAAACATGCTATAATTAATTTTATAGATTATAATTGCTTAATTTTACTTATATTACTTATTTTATATTTTTTTTTCTTATTTATAGATACTTTTACTTTACACCACCTAGTATAAATAATTTTTAATTGAGGCCATCTTGTAATTTAAGGTGAAGGATAAATTTTACCATCACATGTCTTTTCTCTCTTTTAAAGTTCTTATTCATTTTTTAGATTGTAGAATTCAATCTCTACTTATAAAAGATAATTTTTAATACAATTGATATCTATATTTTAAATTTCTATTTTAAAAATATTATTTTTTTATGAAATTGAATTTATTTTTTATTTTTATCTAGTTTTTAAGACCTAAATTTGATACAATAATTGTATCTTTAGTTTTGTATATATCTTTTGAATACAATCTTTTTCTTTCTATAAAATATATATATATACAATTCTAATATAATATTTTTTTGTATATTATAATTAGAATTTTAATGCCTTTAATATAAAAATTAAATCATTATGGTCTAAAATTTATCAATTTTATTCTACAATTTGGACTCCACTTCTAATTTGTAGTTAAGATCAAAAGTCTATTGAAAGCATGGTCACAACTTTCTAAGTATTGATTTTTAAGATAATGTCTTATGTCTAGTAATTTATTGTAGGTTATAACGTCCTTCATATAGAACTTTCACTATTTATTTGGAAAATAAAAAAATTATTATTTATTTATAGTTTATTATACTTAATTCATCTTTAGATTTTTGTTTACAAAAAATCTACCAAAATAATTCAAATATAATTAAATAAGTTTGATTTTTTTCAAAAATAGATAGATTATGATGTTTTTTTTCTTTATTTAAGGGCTTAAAAATTTTGTATCAATATAAATATATAGAAATATATAAAAGAAAAGATGACACTAATAAGAATAATGAATATTCTAAATAAATTGTCATTTTGTGGATACCAAAACTTTGGTTTTTTCTACATCTTTTATATCATGAAAATTCCTATATTTTGAATCTCTAATAATAAGACAATCAAGGTGCCCATTAGCTTACTAAGTAAATTTTTGGTAGTTCAAGTCTATTTATATTGATTAATCTACAAATTTCTAGGTTAATTTTTGTAGTACCAATATATTATAGATTTATTCTAATTAGTCTCAAGACATGTAATTTGACAAAAAATATTTAAGAATCTCTACCACTTTGAATATAATTATCTTTTATATATATATATATATATATATATATATATATATATATGATCAAAGTAAAATCATTTGCTTAATAGATTAAGACTTATTGATTTAGACTACTTGATAGTGTAATTTAGTGTATACAAATTTTTTATACAAACTTGAATAGCTATTTTTAAGATCTTATCTACTATGATTAATGAATAAAGAGCTAAAAGACAACCTTGTCTCATCTTTTTTTCTTTATTTAAGGATTGAAAATTTTGGACTAAGATGGTAAGATATTTAAAATAAAGTTTTCTATCATAATCTTTTAAAGTATGGTTTAAGTTTTTGTAAAAGAATTTACAATTCTTCCTTATGATCATTTACATTGGTTCTAATAGAACAATCAAACTTTACAAAAAAATATATGCAATTATCAAAAGAAACACTTTAAATCAAAAGAGGTAGAGTCTAGTTTGTAATTTATATCTGAAGATACAATGTTTTGGCAACATCTATTAAATAAGTATCTAAGATCTAAGAATTTATTGCTAAAAGAAGAAATACAAAATTCACAACTAAGAAATTGGATTAGAGTGTATTGTTCTGGTACATAATTTTTTAAATTATATCTAAAAAATATTAAAAATCAAATTATTCATTGATGCAAAAATATGGTTTGTATTGTCTAAAATAAAATAAAGTTTTACAAAATAGAAGCACAATTCAGATTCTTCTATTGGAATAATATCATATATAAATAACTTATAATACTCCAAATTAGCTTAAATAATATCAATCCTTATAGGCTTTAAAATTTTGTTAAGTTATTTTATATATTATGAAATACAAAGCTAAAAAAATTGTAATCAAGACAACATGATCTTTTTTGGGATAATTGAACACCTTAAATTTAACTCTCAAACTTTTTATTGGAATAAAAAAAATGAAATATTTTAGCCTTTACAACGAAACTAGGATAAAAATTATTATAGAATCAACAAGCCTCTAGAATTTGACATTGAAAAAAATAATAATAATAAAAAAAAATAGACACCAACTAAAAGATCAACTTAAAGAATATATAGATTGGACATAGAATAAACAAGAAACCAATGTCACTTTGATTAATATATTAGAAATATATAGTTCTTAATTTTTAGAGAGCCTAATTTAATAAACACTTCTTCTTCTTCTTTTTATCTAATGTGCTTTTTAGGTCTTTTTAAAATATTTTGAAAGTGTCTTCTTACAAGACATATCTAGAATTGGAGAACATTTATTTTGTGTAAACTAGCCACCACTTCTAAATAATAAGGACCTTAGAAAGTCCTTTTCATTAAAACAAACAAAAATATTCCAAAAGAAATATTTTAAAGGTTTAATTAGAGAGTCTTCTATTTGAATAATTTGGATGCAACATTAAACACTCTTATTTAATAATGAGGTATAGAGTGATTAGTATATTAATATATATATATATATATATATATACATGTATAGATATTATCTAACCTCATAGAATATAGAGGTATGGTACCTCAGATTCACAATAATCCTTTTTTCATCACAAACATGTTTGTCTTTATTTTGGCATAACCACTATTACGGTTGAACACCATATGCAAGTGAAATTTCAAACAAAGAGTAGACGATACAAGTAACATTACGACAAAAAACTAGTGGATGCGACGACTCGAGCTTGTGGACTCTGCGAGAGCTGGAAATGCGTTACAGTCTCGACGTCGAACCACGACGAAGAACAGGCCTCGGGACCACTAATGAGAAAATGCGAGATCCCCGCGTCACGAAAGACGGTGAAGTAGATTCTGAGCGCATGAGATCGGCGACTTTTCCCTGGAGCACGAGATGCGCCGATCCGCCACTGCTAGCGGGTCAGAAAACCCAGTGTAGGGCATCGAAGTATCGAAGAATCAACGTATTTAGGAGAAATCGACGAAGAAGGGTCCAGGAGGCAATGGAACAAGGGGCTGCGGTGATGCGAAACTCATTTCCACGGTATCGATGTGGAAGGTCAACCAGATGGGGAAAGACGAAAAATCTCCTTCATGCTCCTGCTCACTAGCCAGCAAAGTTGGCAATGTCAGGTGCTGCTAGAAGACGGTGAGTTGCCTGGACAGCCTCATTCTGCGGGCCGGACACGCCACCCCCGTGGCAACCACCGCAACCGGGTTCAAAAATGCCGTATATCGGTGCCTTCAGAAGAAATACTCTTGTCACGCGGTGGATACTCATCCGCGGTGCCAACTGTGAGGTCCCCATTGTATCCGACCTCTCCATTGTTACGAAAATATAACCATATTCTGCGAGTCCCTCTGAACTAGTTTGTAGGTCTGCGTGACTGCAAGAAGGCCGAACATAAGACGCCTGCACGGTGAAGAGCGTTGAGAAATCCGAGGGGTCCAACACCCGCAACAACATAGATGCCGAGAGATCATGTATCCAAATGATTAAAGGGGGGGGGGGGGATCCCACTTTGCAGCGCTCATCTTTAACTGTGCCGCATGTGCTTGGACAGCCAAGTGCCACTACGTGTCATGCTGCCCCTTGTCATGTGAGCGCACCTCTTTCTGTACGCTGCAGTCATTCGATCGGGACCGACTTGCCAATGAATTCTTCGCCGCCATGCCCCGCCTCGCTCGTGATGCACGAGCTCTCTTCCAGGGTTTCTTACATTGCCGTTAGCACTCCTCCGGGTCAAAATTCATTTGACGTGCATATTTCTTTTCCGTTGAGTCATCTCCAAGAGCAGGGACGGGGATTCTTGTTTTGGAGGGTCGATGAGTACTAATCTTGGTAGCGGCGCGTGGCTCCGGTTATGCATATTTCGGTTGTATAATGAGGTGAGGCGGTGACTGCAACTTCAAGGGCAGGCCGCGGGCGAACGATGAGTTGTGAGTAATAAGGTGGAAAGCTTTTTGTTGCCAACTTTCTTGGTCCGGAACAGCCCAAAGTGGAGCTCACTTCATTGTCTTGTGGTATTTTGGCGGTGGACGTTTCGGTGAGAGCTACTGGAAGGCGGTGGGCGCGGGGTAGGTCGGTTGGTGGGTGTTTTTCCAGGTGAGTTTCAAGCATGCGACTCAGTTTGAGTTCGCTAAAGCTCCTTCTACATCGCAGCGTTATGGTCTGTGAGTAGCTTGGGAAATCAGAATGGTCTTGATTTCATTGCGGGGGTAACCCGAAAGCCATGCTACTTGGAACCCACTCTTCCACTTGTAGCGAGAGTTGCAGCTTTCAATCGTCTCTACTGAGTTGGTGACATGCAGTTACGCCATTGTCTGCGACTGGCGTTTTTTCGGGCATCCTGGTTCACTAACCTATTGCCGGAAAGTCAGAGGGTACAACTTCTAAATCCTCCATTAGGTTAATATTTTGGTGTTGAAAAGGAGAGGCACTAGGCCAAAATAGTTGTGTGAGAGGTTTGTGAAAGTCATCAACCATGTTGTGTAGAATAAGATGCAGCTGGTTCATGTAACTTTAGGCAATGCTCCGAAACTGGCCGCTTCTTGCGATCAATCGACCGAGTGACAAGGATAGTAAGAGAGTGTAGATAATAACGGGTTGGTTCAAATGGAGTTTCGCAATTGCAGACGAGAAATGTCCGGAGATTTCAACTGTATGTACCTTCACTTATCTTACTTTCTGTCAGAGATAGAGTTGTTCAGACTATCCTTATGGGGCGTTTAGCAGGAGAGGTAGGGAATTCTGCTGGACGCAGTTGAAGACTTGAAGGGGACAAAGGATCAAGTATTTGAAAGAAAAGCCGGTCATTGTGTTAATCTTTAGCGGTGAGAAACATGCGGTGGCAGGATTGTTGAGGGTTCATTTGCTTCCATCAGTTACGTACCTACCTACAGATATCTAGCTCGATCAGCCACTTCGGGTCAATAATGGGAATCATTGAGTGAGGGTTGAATATTGCGAAGCAGTTTTAAGAAAGAAATCGTTAAAACTAGTTTCTCTGTAATTTGCAGAAGTTGGTTTGGCTGCTTTCCTTCTCCTTCGCGGGCGCCAGCTGCTTTTTTCTTAGCAGGTCTTACTTGAGCTTTAGCGATGGATTTATCACTTACCTTGTCTCACCGTCCATCTGGAGGAAATTCGAAATGGAATCCAGAAGAATGTGAAGATTGCAAAGGAAAAGGACATGTCGAAGGGGAAGGGTCGGAAGCGGGTAATGGGAGGTTGTGTTCGAAGCGGTCACGGGGACCTGCTGGTAAACAACAAGTGCCGGGACAGAAGAACAAGGCGTTGGAAAATTTGGAGGATTGCATGAAAAGCTTGATGATATCCCAAATCAAAGAGACCTTCGTCTACGTTGAAGAGAGCTTCATGGCACTCTTGAGGAAGTGCTTGGCTTCAAGGATTGGGAGCTCTCGTATCGTGGTGATTCGTGGAAATACCGATTATTATGAGAGTAAGAAAGACGTGGACGTAGGGTGGGGTTGTGGATGGCGTAACATTCAAATATTGGCATCGTATCTACTCGCTGAAGATCCCGAGGTTAGGGAGCACCTATTTGGCGGTACTGGCTATGTCCCAGACATCCCCGCCCTCCAGCAGTGGCTCGAAATCGCCTGGGCTAAGGGTTTCGATGCTCCAGGGGGTGAATATTTTGATTGGAAGATCAAGGGCAGCAATAAGTGGATTGGCACCACCGAGGGTGCAGCTTTGCTGCGTTCCTTCGGTGTTCGAGCTCGGATCGTAGACTTTCAGGCAATAGGCAGCAAGCGGGAGTCGCCAAGCGAGCTGCGTAGCAAGGCAGGTCAAGGGAGTGTCGAAGAAGATAAGTCTGGGAGTGGAAGCGAGGAAGAGGCCAAAGGTAAAAAAGAGTCTAATTTCGGAAGTAGAAAGTTTGAAGAGAATGGAAAGGACTCGGATCCTCAGCGATCGATAGCTAAGAGTGACTCTCATGACAAGTGCATTGATTGCGGTGAGCATGAAACTCTACCCAATAAGTTTCGACCTGAAAAGGCAAGTAATTCCGATATGTGCCACACATGTACGAAGCTTCAAGGCTCAGGAAATATGGATAAGAAGAAGTTCCACGACGAGCAAGAAACACAGATCACCAATAGACACAGACTAGGGTGGGACGCAAAAACTGGAGGTGGAGGTGCAGAGGAAGGTCAGATTACGGTGAAACACCAACCGATGGTGGAGTGGGTGTGGAATTATTTTATGTCCCATACGAGAAATTCCAAGGTCTCCAAACAATTGAAACTGAGCGAAAGGTCCCCCCTCTACTTCCAGCACCGTGGCCACTCTCAGACAATTGTTGGCGTGGAGTGCCGAAAAGTTTCCTCTTCTCCCGACTCCGAGGAGGTAAACCTACTCGTCGTGGACCCCTCCGAGAGTGCTGAACAAGTTATAGAGAGTCTCCGAGAAGGTAAAGGCTGGGAGAAATATGTCAAGCGAGGCCTTCAGACTTTGAAACAAAAAGAGTATCAACTCTGCTATGTTGAGCGCGGCATCGCCAAGGGCAGCGAGCTAGACAACCTCAAGTTTCTGACCAGCAAGAGCTATACCTACTGATAACCCTTGAAAATATGGTGTTGAATTTGATGTAGCAATGCTGGCCTCACTTCTAGTATCCTGGTGCCAACAGCTCCCATGCGTCTCCTGGCAAATCCGTCGTACGTTTCATATATCAAGCTGTCTCACAGGTCTCTGGATTATTAACGTCAAGATTTCACGAGTGCCAAGCGGGGGGTAGACAATATGTATCATGGTACATCGCAACTCGCCCTCTTATTGAGAAGTACTCACCGATCCCCTCGCTGGTATGTAACATCAATTAGAGCCACTTCCATCAGGGTCAACTACTAGTGACGGGCATCGTAGATCTAATAGTCAAGCTGTAGCCACTTTGTTATTGCACTCCATAGAACTAAGTCAACCATCATATTTCGGAAAATATCAATTGCATTTCTGTTTCCCCTTCTCCGTCTCCTCCCTTTTCGAGAAAGGATAGATCCGTGCGTCTGGTCGGCGTAGAGATCGGTTCCTCATCTCACCGCCATTCAGACTAGAAGCCAACGCAACTTCAAAAAGATGACCCGAGGGAAAACTATCGTAGCAGTGTAACATCGCGGACCCGACTACCTGTAACTCCCAACGCACAACACTTGCTAGGGAATGTACCTGAGTTCAAATCACGACGACACATCAGCTCACAACGAAACCAGTCTCTTATCCACTCCTATACCAGTCGGTTCATGACCAGCTGCCATTCTTCCCCAATACAAACAACGTCTCACCATGTCCTGCACTCGGGACGTTTGGACGTTGTATAGAGAACAGATTCACCTGGGATTTTCACGATGTCAGACGGTTCCTACTCAAGTAGAACGCCCGAATACCTATGCATATCGGCTTCGAAGGAAGCACTCAGCACCCACAACAGGAAGATCTCCTTCAGGTGATCGCGCTGCCTGCCTCACGAGCTCAGCCCACTTGCTTTTGCACCAGGTGAACCGCATTCCCCTGCCATGGCTGCAATCGCTGCCACCCAGTTCCAACCCCGAAGATTCACGTGATGGATTTGAGGTAATGGTCGGCCTGCAGGGTCGTGTTTCAGTGAAAGGCTGATCGAGATATGCTCCGATTTGCGTCGATTTGCTTCTGCCCACTTCCGTGTCGACGTTGAGGTTCCGTCATGGGATGGATGAACGAACGAAATGACAGGATTCTTCGCCAAGGCGGCGATTCGGCTCTGCGATCGTCCTCTTCATGGTGTAGAAAATCGGTTAACTGATGAAGGCGTCGATAGTCTCCCCTTTTATTTTTGTAAAATGATTACAGAAGTTTGGAAACTGGGATGGTGCTAGATTTGCATCTTTAGAGAAGTTTGTGTTGGTATTGTAGTGGATTGTATCCAAAAACAAAGATTTAATGAGGAATTTTCAGTTTTTGAAGATGCTTACTGTTTGTTTCAAATGCGGAGTTAATCTTTTAGTTGTAAAATCAATTGAATAGTTGAAAATGATAATATGTAATACAATAGTTGACTTTTTTAAAGTGTTTATCAGCTTCAGAATGTGCATCAACTTGATTCAAATCATGTAAATGATGATCAAGTACGTTAATGCTGCGAATTACAACTTTTTAAAGTACTGGTAGTTAGTTTAAGGATTTCTACAAAGCAGATGGTTGAAACCATGAAAAAATGTACGTATTGATACTAATATGCAGACAGACACAATTACTACAAATATATTGCATAATATACACATGGTATGTATGCATGTAAATTTAGATGAGGGAGTAGGTGGATACAATTATATATTCATATACATACATACATATGACAAATAAAATGGTTTTACTTTCAAAATATACTGTTTAAAAAATATAAGGTACAATTTCTGTCACCATAGCAACAAACAGTCAAAAACATGCAAAAACATGGAGTGACAACTGGTTGCCAGTTATCAGTCATTGTTCAAAACCAGGTTGTGTGTGCCTGCGCGAGACCCTCTGCATGTAACCATTATGACGCATTCGAAGACTTTCTCTGATTGCTCACGAACTCTGCTCAACTCTTGCAGGTTTTTTGGGATGCGAGAACCTCAGAATCGTCCACAAACTTCCAAGTCTGTTACAATGCTCTCTCAACTTCGTCCTGACCGTAAACCTTTGCGTTGGCAGGTACCCACAGGCCCGCTTCCCAGACCTGGAAGCTTGATGACTGATGTTTAGGTCTTTTCAGCGGAGATCCATTAAACTTTGACAACGAAGACGAAGGGGTTGGATGTCAACGAAACTAGGATTCGAAGTTGAGAGTCTTCAGCTGCTGCCCTGCCAGGTGGGTTCACAACTTCCCCAACTATGCGATGTTGTCAGTCATGGCTACTCTTCTCTTTAGAATCGTCTTTTCGTCGTGTCTTGCAAGGAACTAATCTGCGCTTCAACCTTCTCTCGCCTCCTAATGTTGTCCCATATTTTTGCATTTCCCTAGATTTATACTTCGGTGGATCTTCGTTGAACCCTCCTCCACCAGAAATGTTTTCCTGCATGAAGATGCGAAATCAGCCTCTCAACTTACCCTGAAACCTAAGTTGGATACATGTGTGAAACTTGGAGGATGGCACTTTGGGGTGTTTTGTATGTATTAAGGTTGCGTTGGATGTCCACTGCCGTTGCTGGTGAGGAGTGCTGTTTGTTGATGTTGAGGGTTTGCTTTTAGTTGCTATTGTTCGGTGGCGAGAGTCTGCATTGCATCGCAACTTTTATATTTTTTTGTTTTATTTTTTTGTTATGTTTTATAATTGTGTTTGTTTTACTTTTTTTGTTTTTTGTTTTTTTCCCTTTGCATGTCACCGTCACTGGGTACAATCGTATTCTCTGATGACAAGGAGATACTACAATTTTTTTATTTTTTTATATTTTTGGCACAAAATAAATATGTTTTTCATTGCAGGGGGACCGGTACAGCATGTTGTGGTCAAAAACGGGATTATATAATCTAGACCTCAACGAGACACGACAGTGGACTCTAAATAGTATAATACAACCCCTAGCTTATCGGGGAGCTGAACTTTCACTGGTGTTGAATCTGTGGGTATGCCACCTAATTTGCCTGCCTTGCCGAGTGCACAGGATCTTGTTATTACCCCAGCTTTAATCAAATGCCTTGTACCAACTATCGGGGGCCTCTTCTGGGGTGCAGAGGAGCGTTTTTGTCCATGCAAAGCGACCATAGTTACATAGATTCCTCCAAATCTTAGCCTTGGTTTTGTGCCTAGGCCAATCAAAAGTGTTAAACACTTGGTAGTTGCATTCCAGCCATATTTCCCAGACTGTTGTGCCAATTATACAACTCAAAACATTTACATAGGGGGGCAATAGTAATATGTAGCTTTGGTGACAAAAGTCGGGACTAATAAGTTATTAGGAATGTACACCTCTAGCTATTCATACAAATGGGAGGCAAAGAAGTCTTGTTGTAATAGGCCCTCAACGGTGCCAATTATAGCTATAGTAAGAGCATACCAACAATTTTCTTCCAAGTCAAAGAATAATTTTATTTTTATTTTTAGCTTCTATCCAAATGAAGAACCAAGAGCTCTTTGGGCTTTGTCAATTGCAAATTGTTTACATCCTTGTTTTGCTAGTTCTATAGCTCACAATCATAGGAAGAAGGGGATGAATGGACTATACAAACTTTGAGCTAAATAAGAGTCCAACATTATTGGCTTCTTCATATGTTTCTGAAATGTGCCATTGAAGCTCCTTCAAAAACTTTAGCCATGCTTTTCCTATTTGAGCCTAGATTTTTGAGCCACTAGAGTGGCAATAAGTGGGATTCATAGCCTAGTTGGAATTTGAGTCCTACATCATCATGTGATAACACAACTCTATGGTAAGAAATAAAAATATGGATGTTATTATAGAAGAACCTAGTAGAAAGATATAATAAAAACAAATATAAATAATAGAAAGCTAGTAAAAGTTTAGTCTTAATATTTCTTTTCATAGAAGAGATTTTTATTTACTTTGTAGGAGCATAAAAGCTTCAAATCGAAGTAAATGAGATAAGTAAATAATATAGATAACTTTAAGAGAGAATTAAAAATAGATTTAAGTATAAATTACCAAAAATTACTAAAAATTGATATCCAAAGAAGACTAGTTGTTAACATGAGTCAAAATTAGACCCTGAGGCACAAAATCATGCACCTTGGATAACTCTAAGAATTATTTTGTAAATTGAAAAGCGATTTGAGAGCAAACTTGAAGAAAGATTTTTGAGTGTTAGTTTCATGTGATTTGGATTAATATTGGAATTTTGAGAGATTTTTAAAGCAAGTGATGTACTTAGTAGGTTTAGATTTTGGAAAATAAAAATAAGTTTACAAATTTTTAGGATTTTGTAGATTTTATAGTGTGTTTAGAAGTGAAAATTGATTATTTTACTTATTGTAAGTAAGTATGAGAAATTTGAGGTCAATCAAGAAGTTAGATTGAAGTATATGATGATTTTTGTCGATTATGATTTTAGAAATTGGAATTAGAGGACTAGTGAGGATTTCTAAGATATCTATTAATCCGCCAATTGGATTGAAATACAATTTTGCTGAAAGGAAGCTAGCTTGATTTTTAATAATTATATAAATTTTGGAACAAATTAAATGGTGAAATTAAAAGGTCATGGCTAAGTAATATCAATATCAAGGTTGGAATAGGTGGCCAACCAATCCCTAAGTAAAGTTTTGGAATTATCATCTATTTACTCTGTGTGATCTTCTTCAAAGTTTTTGTACTTGTTGCTAACTTAGTTCTTGCAAGGTATGTAAGTTTTAAATCAAAATCAATGGTTCAATCATTATTTATTGAAATTTTAATTTGTTATAGTATTTGTTAATAATTTCTTTAAGATTTAGGATTTGATTGAAAATTTATTAGAATTAATTTAAGATCTAGAATTTAGTTAAGATTTAGGATTCATCTAAGATTTGATTAAGATTTACGATTTTATTTAGATTTTATTAGGATTTGACTAGGATTTTATTAGGATTTTATTAAGTTCATCTAAGATTTAGGATTTCATTAGGATTTGATATAAGGTTTAATTAAGTTTTACTAGAATTTCAATTAAGATTTTAATTAGGATTTTATCTAAGATTCAATCTAGGATTTGATTAAGTTTTATTAGAATTTTAATTAAGATTAAATTAGAATTTGGTTAGGATTTATTTAGGACTTATTTAAGATTTTTATTTGTGATATTTTTTTTATAATTCTTTTTTATTTCTTTAAAAGTTTCTATTTTTAATATTTCTTTAAGATCATTATTATTTCTTTAGAGAATTATTTTTTTTACTTAAGAAACTTTAGAAACTTATTCACATCAAGGATTCTAGGAGACAATCTAAAAGAAGTGCCTAATAATTTGGCTAGGTTGTCTTTTATAACCTATTTCTATCCTAATGTACTTACTCAATCTAGTATTGTACTCTATATATCAATATAGTAGGCTTTAAACTTGTTTCAATTAATCACCAAGATTCATGCTAATACAAAGAAATCTAGGATATTGAACATGTTTGCTACTTTTTTAGTTGTAGTTCAAATTGCTCAAACTGATATAGAAGTATCATTGGCATATTGTAGAATAATTTATGATGTATTTGTCTTATGTAGCTTGATATCTCAAATTCTACCTTAAGCTTTTTTATATTTAATTTAAGTATTTATTGTTTCATCAATAATAATAAATAGGTAGGAAGCCATTGGACATCTTTGGTAGACATCTTTTTAGATAAGGAAGGATCTTATTATGTACCCATTGAGATTGATTGTTGCCTCAACATTGATGAAGGTTAATCAAATCACGTTGATAAATTGATCTAAAAAGCCTATTTTTTGCATTGAGTTTGTCAAAAATTACCAATTAATCTTGCCATATATTGTAAAAAAATCAAACTTTAAAAAAATGTTCATTTGATTTGTCTTCTTTATCCATGAGAGTATTTTGTGGATGAATAATATATTATTAAGAATAGATCTATCATTGAAAAAAGTAATGTCATGATGTAATATAGCTAATATATATATATATATATATATATATATATATATATAGAAGATCTTATTTTAAAATATTATAGAAAATTATTTTAGAAATATAGATATTATTAAAAAAAGATAGTAAAATTAAATAATACTAATGTTGCTTTTTTTACAAATTAGACTTTTACTTACTTTGTAGGGCCATAAATAAGAAAAAATAAAGTAAATTAAGAAATTAAATGTAAACATGTACAAGAAGAAGATAAGATTAAATTTAAGCAAAATTTATCTCAAGAATCTAAGAATTGATACCCATAAAAGACCAGTTGTCAACTTGGATCAAAATCAAACCTTGAGGCATAAAACCACAAATCTATAGTGACTTTAAGGTTTTTTTGTAGATTGAAGAGC